GAAAACTATATTAAATCGAGTTCTTAGGTTTTCGCGATTGTTACACATAGGAAATGAAACTATTTTTCCGGATTTAAATCGCGTATATTTGTTTTTTCAAACAAACCGACGTTTCGGGCCCTTTACAGGTCCCATGGTCGCGGTTGACTGAGGTGGTACAGTCTTCAACCAGTTATGTCTAATATTGATGCAAACCACCCTATTTTTTCCACTATAGTTATTAATTAAATACCTAATTTTTAGGAAATGAAACTATTTTTCCGGATTTAAATCGCGTATATTTGTTTTTTCAAACAAACCGACATTTCGGGCCCTTTACAGGTCCCATGGTCACGGTTGACTGAGGTGGTACAGTCTTCAACCAGTTATGTCTAATATTAATGCAAACCACCCTATTTTTTCACTATAGTTACAATAGTTATTAATTAAATACCTTATTTTTAATTTTACAAAGAAAACATTCCAATTTACGCTACATTAAGTTTTACAAATTATTTTATTGAATGAATTTTTATTAAGTTTAATTTATTATTAATTATTAATAGAAATTAGAATAAACTAAAACATATTAATTAGTACTGCAGTCTTATGTCTGTTTGGGATTTTTCATTAGAGGAAATACTGGATCCCAAACTGGTGGTACGGAGAAACCATCTTCCCTGTTGAAATTAGGATGTTTTTTAATTATACATAATGTTAGTAGACTACATCATAGACGCGCCATCGACTCGCCATTGAAGAGCAGAATACAAAAAAATTGCAATGGCAGTTGAGCAGTAGCTCGATGGCTATAGCTGAGACAAGCCACCACTCTTAACTTTTTGCACCCAACGTACAAAATTCTGCCATTGACACTCTGTCGACACACAACTGAGATGATTTAAAATTAGCAGACATGTTAAGTTTCGTTTATTTATCTCAACATTACAAATTTCATTCAAATACAATTACATGTCATTTTATACTATTCTTCGAAAAAAGTGAGCGTCAGTTTACAAAATAATGAAGAAATAATAATATAATAGTGAGTCATAAGTACACAATAGTGTACATATACAAAGTCAACATAATTAGTTAAACTAACAAATAATTGAATTAGACTAACAATGTCAAGTGTATGCAGGAAATGTCAATATGGATTCTTAATAATTAATAAATGTAAATTAAAGTATAATAATACGGTGAATGTCAAATTCATTAATAAATATAATAATTTAATTATTTATTCGTACTTTGAGTGTACTCTGTTACTGAGTAACGGGACTTTTCCAATAAAAGTTTCGTTTTTTAGTTCGGCAAGTAGGTGCTCGTAGTAGGTCGATCCTATAACCCTTGGGACAACAAACGACTATTGAAAAAACTTACGATAATGTATACAGGGTGACATGTTGAACGAGATAAATGTTTAAAGAGGCAAACGAGTAGCTGATATCTAATCCGAATATGGAAAAAGAATCGCCCCTAAACATAAGAAAAAAAAAATTTGTGGCATTTTACAAATATTATAACAACACACTCTTCGTTTGGACTGCTCTATGAAACAGAACAGTTGAGCGGTAGGAAATTGATCTCCTGCGGGTCAAACCTTACCACTTAAAGAGTACTATTAAAAATAATCCCGTTTTCCCTTCATATCTTGCTTAGGACAGACAAAATTGATTCCTAACATCTATGTGTAGGACGAAACACGCCGCCTATGAAACGTTTCTCGGGACCTTAGCACATCATTTGCACAACATACCATAACCTAACACCGCATCATGTGCCAATACTAATAAGGCATCGTTATGACCGTTACTTCGCCCCATTGAACAACACAGGTGAGGCGGGGGTGCGAAACCCGATGGAATGCGTGCGCAGAGATCGGTAAGGGTAGCGGGCACTCACTGCATGTCCGATATTGCGCAGAGTATTACAAAATGTTAGACGCAGTATTTTCCTTAGAGAAAAATATTTAAAAACAAGGTAGTGTTTTTTACATATACGTTAAGGGTATCAGTTACTCATTCGCCTCTAAATATTTATCTCGTTCAACCTGTCATCCTGTATTTTACAATTGGAAAGTGTACCCAATCTATTGACGGTATAACTTAATACCGGGAACCAAATTGTTTTATTCCTTTCGTGTATGTGATAAAATAGATACGAGCTCATGTGGACTTTTGTGTCCGTTTGGTTGTGGTGTGGACGTTTGTAAGTGTATGTTAGAACCTCAAATGGCCCTACAGTGTGATATGTCAGTGATTTTTATTTATTAACACGTAGAACTGCGTATGTATTTATTTGCTCGTATCGTTGTCGGTATACACGAATCTTAACAATAGTGGCGTGATTTCTCGATGAGTCTACATAATTTTTTTGCGCTTGGATGTCTACCTAATAGCTATTTTTGACGCCGCTGCTCGAATGACCATATTTGGGTCCGGGTTTAGTTATTTTAAGTTATCTCGACGTATATTTGTAATAAATATTGTAAAAGATAAACGTGTACAAGTGAATATTTACAAATACCTTGAGTTAGAACTCTAGAGTTGCTCTTTGTAAATAAACAGATTCCTATTCACTCTACTCAGAGGCTGCTAAATGAATGACTAGTAGAGTTTAATCAATCGACTCATCCGAAGAACAGAGTCGGATGTGATTATACAGCGAAAAGAGGATATAACATAATCTCGTTATTCAAAAGGTCTATCTAAAGGTGTTTCAGACATTTTTAGGTATTTATTGTTTCGTTTCGGAAATATGAAATCGAACAACAGTCAATCTTGACTGTAGATATCCACAGTCAAGAACATCAAACGAAATGTACAATATCCTGAGAATAAGCAGCATCTTGCACATACCCAAATATGCATGGCCAAAAATGCAGCCAGGAAGCTTGTCATCCTTTACAGGGTGAGGCGTTACTTCACACCGGGACAGTTGCTTCAGCTGTATCAAGCGCAAGTCCGGTCGTGTATGGAGTACTGCTGCCACCTTTGGGATGGCTCTGCAACATACCAACTGGCCACCTTGGATTCAATTGACTAGCGTGTCAAGAAGCTTATAAGTCACTCGGAATTAATAGAGGCGAAGTTGCTAGACTTGCCTGCTTATCGGTATTTTACAGGATATATCACGGAGAGTGTGCGATGGAATTACGCGATTTAATTCCGCCTTCCCCTTTCCATCATCGGGGGACTAGGGGCAGGCTTGGCTTCCACCCCCATGTTGTGGATATTCCAAAGATTCGCACGAAGCGTTACGCTTCCACATTTATATTGCGAAGGGCTATGGAGTGGAATTCCCTGCCTGCAGACTTGTTCCCTGAACGTTTTAACTTTGACCTTTTCAAGGCGAGAGTGAATAGACATTATTTAGGTGTGCATACCCCATCGTCGACCTCATCATCACTTTCCATCAGGTGAGATGAAGGTCAAATGCATACTTACATTAGAATAATAAACAAAGGTCTTTGTTCTACGGATGAGTCGCAATGTAATGATTATTTATTTTTTTTAAATTAAGTAGCCATGCTAGCCTAATGGTTTGACCTGCCGTTTCTCAATCAAAGGCCGTGGGGTCCGAATACGGGCTCACACCTCTGAGATTTTCGGAATGTACGTAGAAATAGAAATATAAATCATTTATTCCTTGATAATGAACACAGTACACAAGCATTTTATAATAATAATAATACTGATAATTATGATAATAATAATAACAACAAGGATTTGGAACTAAATTCATACATATAAAGAGTATAAAGCGTGTGTGCTGTGCTGCCAAGGAAACCGTGACCCACTCAGCTTGTTGTTGTCTCACTTAAAGTGCTACGACGCTGATTTTCAGCGGATCCGGCAACAGAACACACGTGACACGGAACATAGTAGCCGTCACAGATTCACAATAAAAACATTGAATGAAACAAGCACATATAATAACTTTAAACACAAAAAATGAGCAGTTTATTCCATTAAGGTACAATTAATGACATTATCATTTACATATTATGCATGAATTTAAATGTATGTTATTGTATAGGTAATTTATTTCATAAAACTTGAGTAAAACATTTCAATTATAAACAACATCGTAAATTAAATATAATTGTGAACATTTGTGTACATATCTTATCACGTCACTAGGTATTTAAAAATAAAGTACGGATGGTGAATAATTTAATAAAATTTAACTAAAGGCTTAAAAATTAACAATATGTAGACGACCCCGACACATCGACAGCCAGGTTGAGATTGCTGAACATTAAGCAAGTATGCTTTGAATATTTTAAAAGTAAAAATTGACGAGGCATTTCTAATAAGCAGTGGTTGGTTATTCTAACATTTCGAGGCAGCATAGCGAAAGCTATCACGAAAGCTCGCCGTTCGGTGTCGAGGGCATACAAGTACGTACCAAATTAATTTGAAATTAACCATTAGCTTTTTAGTTAAGGAAAACATCGCGATGAAACCTGTACTTCGAAGAAGGTTCTCAACCCTCGGAACAGATGTGAAGTTCCCTACCGGCATTGGGCCAGCGTGGCGGATTGGGAACCCCTCGCCTGAGAGGAGTCCAGCAGTGGAACGTAAAAATGGGTTGACGATGATGAATGTGGCGATTTCAATTGTAATTTGTTTAATTAAGGATTTAAGTCTCAAATTGACGGTATTCAGGGACGGAAATTATATCTGCCTAACTATAAATATAATAAAAAATAATTGAAAACACGTATTTTTTATATTAACTTAACAAGAGCATCACAAAGAAAAAATTATGTATTTGTACAGATAGTTCAGGTTCTTTTTTCAAATGCGGTAGCACCTCCTCGACAGCATCAACGCACCCCAATTGTTTCCGAAGCCTCTACCACCCCACAGGGCTCTTCAGCGCTCACTGGGTAGAGACCACTTTGGAAAACTATGATCAGACATAGAGTCTCGAAAATATATGTATGTGATTGATGCCTAGTTATCATGTTCGGCAGTTCAAGCATTTATATGCATTTATCTTGTCCTCAGGGCTCTGCTCTAGTCTCCTATGCGGGCGCACCAAAGAAGTAGAAGTGGGGGAGGGCGTCGGCGCGGGCGCAGCACTGGCGCTGGCGCTAGTGCGGTCCTCCCCAGCAATGCCTACCGAAGGCCCTTGTCAGCTGCGTTTGAATGCGCCGGATGCTGCTGCTTTTACTGTTAGACTTATTGATGTTAAGGTGAGTGCAATCACGTTTTTTTTTAAATATGTTACTAAAATAGTTTTCCGGTATAATGGATTTGCTTCTGACATCGAATAGAATTATAAATTCATATTTTATAAACTAATTACATCTGAAATTTAAATTTTCGTATGCCTCTATAAAAAGTGCATCATAGCTGCGTTAAATAAGTCTGTACACCATATCATGCCATATGACCTGGGTTGACGAATGAATATATTGATTGTGTGATTGATTGTAGAACACAGGTTCCTAAAGTTTCTCGACTAGTAGATCACGTGGCAATTTTTTCGGTTTTACGTAGACACACTGGCTTTATAATTTTGAAATTTTCACACATTTATCGACTTCAAACATGTATTTGACAACTGATACAGCGCTAGTGAGAACCTTTATAAATAAAAAACAAATTAACGAATATCTTGTGTACTTCATTGGCAATGTATGCGTTTATTATAAAATAATTTATGTAATGTGGATTATTCGACTCATGGGAAACCAAGATTTTAGTCACGACTTGCTACAATAGATCCCACTCTCGTGGGGCATTAAACTTCTCATGTACCCCTAATATTATTTTGCGCTGATGGTCGATATAGACCTATTTGGGGTTTATCAATGTAGAACATTAGCTACAGCCCTACCTCAACGTTTCAACTAATCAATCTTTTGATATGTTTGCTGCTACGTTCTATTTCATTTAGTTAGAAAAGTTAATGGTGATTAATAGGTTAGGCATGCTCATATATAAATTTTCGGAAAAGATTAATTATAGATCATGGCGTTTCTCGACGATATCAATTATTCGCTGCTCCCGCGAAGACCAGCTATTATAAAGGCAGCAGATAGGGGCATCATAGAGGTGGCTGTTTACTGGGCCAAAGAAATATAACACAGGATTTCTACTGGTTTTTGGCATTGACTCGACAAGAAGAAGATTAATACAGAGATCGAACACAAAGAAAAATTCACTCAATCCGGCTGGACCTAGGGACCACTGCCTCGTCATATTGGAGGCTGTCGCTCAGTTGAGAAACTGAGCTACGGAACGATTTAGTAGATCTTACGGATTTGTCTGTGCTTATTGCAGATCTTTATTTTTGGTTTTAATCACTTTTTTACTGCCCGCGCCACGTGTGAGAAATGTCGCGCGCCCGGTGGTGAGCGACAAATTTATCCACAGCAGTTGCAGTGCCAATCAGAGCTTAGAGCTTAATCACAAAGATCTGAATGGCGCTGCCACTGCGCCCGTCACCCTGAGACATAGGTTGACAAGTCCTACGTGCCTATAATTTTACCAACATCCTTACAGTTCGAAACAGGTACGCAGTAATGCTTACATTACCGCTTGGCGGCAGAAATACGTGAGGTGACAATGCTTTCCTGGATGAACTTTTCACAGGAGCTCTACTGCTACTAAATTTTACCTGGAAGTAATTGCTACATAGCAATAAAGCCGCCAGTTGCACATTAGCATATTTTATACTTGAATTACTATTTCGTGTTGTCACTATATTTTTTTTATATACGTATAAAGAATATTCTATTCATTCATTCTAAATTTGACATATATACCAGTAATATTATTATATAACTGTGATACAGTTACAAGTCTGCTCCTGACGAGAATAATCATTTCGCCGTGACAACTGTTGCGGTTTTCCTCAATAAAATCATGATAAATCGTGGGAAAACAGATTGACTACACAGATAATGTAATTTCGCGCTTCCAAGCTCTTGACCTCACGGTGTGGACTTATAAATAAGTGAATTCGTCTAGACAATTCATTTCGATATTAAGTACAGCAAGTTTACTATAAAAAAAGCAATGACCGCTGTACGAGGATAATAATGCCTCGTGTATGGAATAAATAATTAACATATAGCTAAAAAAATACCGGATTCTTACTCGTACCATGTTTTTTTCCTAATATTTATTTACTTTGACATTTTTATGTAAAATAGACGTGCAATCACCATTACCATTTGATGTTAGATGTATAGATACATTTTTGTCGTAGCAGTGAAAGAGCGCTGACTCAGCATATTATTTTGCCTAAGATCCATAATGCGCTGGTTGTCAGTTAGAACCAACGACAGGGACTAAATATAGAAGTTATTTGTAATAAAAGATATAATAAACGATTAGGAGGGACGTTGTTAAAATAACCTATTCAATATGTAAGTGCATGTGCGGATATGAATATATAATAAATATTTTTTAGTGTAATAAATCAAAGTAAAAATTTATTTTTAGAAAGTTAAATCTGTAATATAAAGGAGTCACCTTGAACCGGAATTGACTTGAGCCGTGAGCAGCTTGAGCTGGAACCTATGTAAGATTTTTCTTCACTCTGACTAGAGATGTAGCTTGACTAATAGCGATATTTATTTGATTGAATGACACGATGTTTTTACTAACATGATATTCTTATTAATTTTTTTATTAAATTGATATTTAATTACTTTTTGTAAAGTTACTCCACTAGTTTGTTATAATTATTAATACAAAGATCGAACGCTTAGAAAAAAATCCTGCGATCCGGCGGGAATTCGAACCGACGTCTTCTAGCAAATTGTGCCAGACGCTATGCCAACTAAGCCACGGAACGAACCAGCGGACCTCACGAATTTTTCTATGTGCTTTTTGTGTTTGGTTTTCAACAACGTTTTAACCGAAGCGCCATCTATGAGAAATATATGACAGTATTTGATATTGTATATGATATTCTTACATTTAGTCTTAACATAACTCTCTACTAAGGTGGGATCAGTCTGGGGTGGTATAGAATATACTTATTAACTAGACTTGTATGAGCAGAACAATCCTATAAGATGTTTGTATTAGCAAAATTTCTAAATTGTATTTAGTTATTTTGAGTTTAAGCAAATATTTTATTATTAGTCGGAAACAAACACATTTTACTGAGATAATGGTAGTGACAACTTAGAATAATAACGCATAGAATGATAGTTTCATATCAAACGAACTGTCACAAGTGAGGCAAAAATCAAATTCATGTAGGCTAGTTTTAGTAGTAGGTTAATTTTCGGTTTTAGTGAATATTTATATAAAAATACAAGTTGAAACGCGTTACTTCCTTGTGGAATGTGATGTTAGTATCTATTTTATGTTTGTCTGACGTATTTTTACACTCATTTTCCGCACATTTCGTCATTTTTAGCTAAAATTCTTGAGCTGTTCGCGGTGCAAGTTGACCTTGAGCACTGACGGCCCGCTCGCTCGTGTAGGCCCATTAGGAGCGCTTCAATTTGCCTCACTTAGCGTGTGCGGACTAGGTTTCTATGCGTTATTCTAAGAGTGACAAGTTGTAAATAACTGACACAATATAATTCTTATTTGAGACAAACTTTGGTAGCTGTTCGTCCTTCCTCGTAATACATTACTTTTCGATGCGAGATATTGGCACATGGGGGCCTACCTTTCCAAAAACAATCTTATTTCAATGTAAGCATAAAGTAAGCTTATTGTCATATTACTCATTTTCGTACCATGACAAACCTATCAACTAAGTAATGTATTATTGCTAAAATGACTGAAAGAATGAATGATTTTCCAATATTGTCTATTCCTTACTAAAGGTAGGAAAGAAATAACGCTATATGAACTGTATAATGCCATCTCTTTCTTTTTTGATGTTCCGAATCGTGTTATCGCAGTATAATGTTATAGTACATTACGATATTAGTGCGTAAAGATGGTTACAACATGCGAGGCGGAGTTTTAATTGAGCCGAGCATGTTATAACCAATACGCACGTATATCGTACGACGTTTTTTAACACATTTGCGAGGAAACAGACAAAAAACATTTTATACATTGCTTATCTTCATTATTGAAAGTTGTCATTTTTAGATATTCACAATACAAGTACAAAGAAAAGAAAATTTGGGAAAAATGGCGCGAGGATTATTTTCTACCGTGGCTGCGTGAAAATGTTGACAAAGACGCTAGAGCATGCAGCCAAGTTTTTAAATTACCAAATAAACTGTTTTTTTTTAAATAAACTCAATCTGTGAATGCACACTGTTGCTTTCCCGCCATTTTAACAGCGCGCTAGCGCTGCCTACTGACTGGCGCCGCGCGGCGATTTGTTCGAAATTTGAATAGCAACAGCGCGCTGCTCACTAGCTGGAGTCGTGCGATGGCGATCAGTTCCATATTTGAAATGGCAAATAATACTGCTATGGAATTTGCATGGAATATAACTTAACTATTTGCTTTGGTAACACACGCGTTTTTTATGACCGGCTTTACATATTTAAAACCGGTGGAATTACATCAGCTTTACGAGCAAGGGTGTTAAAAAAGTACTTAATGTTATTTACATTCAGAGAATTTTGACTGTTAAAAAAGAAAAGTATGTAATAATGAAATCTATTGAAATTACGTTGTTTTCAATTATCATTCCGCGTTTTCATGAAGATAAATAAATAAAACAAGCTGAGTCGTGATAGTAACGTTGCGAGTTCGTAACTATAGTCTAGTGTCAACTGGTAGTTTCGCCAAGGAGCATATAGATGGCGCTGTTATAATTTTACGAAATAAACATCGCGTATTTATATTTAATGAAAAATTATTTAGTATGTGCGATTAAATAAAAAATAAACAAAATATTGAAGAGATATACATAAATAAATAAGTTCAACTTAACTTTTAATCATTACAAATTAAAATTAAGACAAAAAAACTGAAAAGAATATTGTTTCCATTGCATCCGTGTAACTATTTTAAGATTGCTAAATTTGACATAAGAGCAATATTACATGTTAAAGTCGCGTCATAGTACGAACTGAGTGAAGAGTGAGTCACAAAGCTTCCAATAAAACGTCATAGTTTGAGATTATTAAAATAATACAATAAGCTTTCTTTAGGCGCGTTATGGTACGAAAAGTCAATATAAGGTTAAAGTAATAAATATTGTTTTAAGAGGTTGTGGTAGGCCCCCAGAAGTTGTATGTTGCTAATAAAAAAT